CCCCCCCCCCGGTCGTACACAGTAAGTATAATTTAGCTTATTTGTAATAAATTATTTGATATATCTTTCATATCATCAAATCATTTAACTATTTGTTACTACATACTAACATAATGATATAAATTAGTACTATATTGTAAATATGCAAATTTTAATTTCTTTTCCTTCACCATACGTGCAGTCGTTTTCCATTTGAATTTTCGCCAAATAGGAGAAAGTGTGCGGTGTGCCCCCGCTGACCCGCTTCGCTTTTTTGAACATCTTTTTCTTTTTCGTAAAAAATATTTTCAACTGATGTTTACATCAAATTAAGATTACATACTTCGTATTAATTTAACTCCAGTTTATTAATAAGAGTGTATGTGAAGACATACCTCATCTATTTATTATATTTGTAAAAATACCATTTATACGAGTAAAGATGATATATAATCTGATAGTTGGAACTTGGAAAGGTTAGAATTCCAGTGAGGCTTGACCCTCAAAGTTTTGACGTGTCTATGTATGCTTTAATATTTACAATTGTACTTAATAAAATTCCCTAAAGTTCCACTCAGTCAAAAGTAGGGGCGTTAATGGTTTGGTTCGGCCGGTTATTTTATAAAATTTGTACCATATTAATTTTTCGGTTATTCTATGATGTATAACCAAAATTAGGCTTTTAAAAACCGTATCAGTCATGCCGGTTTCTCTTCGATATCGGTATAGTTCGGTTAATTTTCGGTATTTTTAAATGTCATTTAAAAGTCACTAGTAGAAGCATAATGCAATCATACCTACTTTTATAGGACTTATCAAAACTCTCTAGATATTTTATTATTTAAAAGGTGATAACTAAGAAAACATGAAAGATGACCAGAGTATAAATCCATCAGCTATTGTACAGCAGCGTAAAAGAAACTAAGCAAAGACAAAGAAAATATAAATCACACGGGTGGAAAGATATTAAGCAAACTGAGACTCAAGAATAAAGACTATAGAAGATTAAATATGAAAATATATATTTAAATCATACGAAAATTCAATACATTGTACTTTGTTACTCATAATCGCTAGATGCCTTTGTGTCTTGCTAGTTAATATGATGGAAATAATTTAGTTTCAATAGGAGTAGTATAATAGATTTACGAATTAGGATTTTGGGTTTAATTAATTAATTGTTGGCTTGTAACTATTTTTTTATAATTTCAAGGCCAAGGAAAAATTTAATGCTTTATTATTTTTAATATTAATATATAAATATATTTTTCCCATGTGAATTCATTTAGTACTGTTCGGTATTTTTTCTATTTATTTCATAAAATAAAAACCTACCCTAATTATTGGTACGATTATAGATTTATATTAAAAAATCTACAGCTTTATTAAAAGAAACCTTAAAATCGATTCGTTTCAGTACGGTTCGATCAATTTAGTCGGTTTTTAAATAACTATTGACACCCCTAGCCAGAACTTTCAGTCCTATGAACTTGCAATACTCCAATTCTTATTTTTTTCTATACGTACGATTAGTGGCGAAGCCAGGAGTTTCCTGAATAAGGTTCATATTTAAAAAAAAAAAGTAAAAAAAATCTCGTCAAAAAGTATTCAATATATGTTATATACTTCTAAAATTTGATATTTTATCTATATACGCAGTATAATTAACCAAAGTGTAGCTTTGCCCCTGGGTACAATAGGGTGCATTTGCATTATTCCGCATGGTAAAAATAATCGTAGAAAGAGCATCAAAACCTATATTAGTCCAAATAGTAACATTTATTTTTTTCAAAAGGAAATAAATAAAGAAATCAAGAAAAATACATATCAAGAAGAGGAAAATACGTTGTAAACAAAATACAAGTACTCCTATATATGTAAAAAACAAAAAAGGATCTTCTTCCGAGTGGGAGTTATGTACAGGCCAGTGTTATTCATCACTTTTATGAAAAATATCAGAACTTAGAAGTTACAGCTTCTGTTATCAAAGCAAGAAAGTGACGGAAATCACAAATTAAAGTCGCATAAAATCATGAGTGGAGCCGCCGAAGTTGAAACAAGAAGGATCGTACCCAAGGAGTGAAATATAAGCAGTATATGATTCTACGGCTCCAACCATGGCAAATACTTTAGGTCGCTCCAAGCCGCCAAAGTTGAAACTTGAAAAACGAAAACCTCTGACGCGAAAAATAAAAAAAACTGTGTGAAATCAGATTGATCAGAACATAAAGTTATTTTCAGACTTATTCTCATTAGAAGGAGAAGATCCACTCTCACTAGGAGAAACCAACGTAGAAATCCTATTACCATCCACGTTAGGTCTTGTTAAATTGCTGGTGCGGCCCAATGAGCTGAACATATAGGGTACTTGATTTTGTTGCAGTGGCTGCTGAAACTGTATATTATAAGCTCCAGAATTAGCAGCAGTAGTAGGGTTCACAATATTATTGGAGGAGCTAGAGCCGAAACCTAAGTAGGTTCCCTGTGTTGACGCAAATGGTGCAGTAATTGAGCCACCAGTGAACTGTTGAACCATGGCTCGGAAATTGGTGGTGTCTGTGTTCAAAACGGTGGTTGGTGTTCGTCGAGAAGCTCGTGAACGACGTCGTATAGGCTTGGAAACACGGCCATCGGCTGGGCCATGGTTGTGGTGAGTAGTACTACTACTGACTATGGAAGTGGCAGTGGTGGTGACCACCGTAGCATCAGACACTCGGCCGTCGGAGAATACGGTGGTTGACGGATATCTTTGAGGTTGGCCGCCGGAGAGGTTGTGTTGGTAGAATTGTGCCCAGTTGGTAGGGTTTGGCATGGTTTCACTCATGCCCATAAAAAAGTTGAAAAAGGAAGATAAAGAAGCTGAGAGTTTGTAAATTTTAGGAAGAAGGGAAGAATAAAAACATAGGATCATCCTTTGTATTTATACATATTTTGAGACTGCGGAGTTAGAGTATTAAATACGCGTTTGGAAGAATTCAATAATTTTATTTTAAACTAAGTATTAGAAAGTTCATTATAATATGTAAATACTTGATTATGAACCTAGTAATTTATGAAAGTTATAACTCGAATGATAATTTAAAATCTATAAACTTTAAATTTTGACGTTAAAAATTTGGATGGTCAAAGTAAATGACTAGTACTTCTTTCGGTTCATTTTAAATGATTTTTTAATTTTTTTTTAATGGTCCACAATATTTAAAATTAACTTTTTAAAAAAAATTAGCCTATGATATATTATTTGTTATATTTTTAATGAATAAATTAAGATTAATATGATCAATATTATTGTTAGTTAATAATAAAAGATAAATTTTTTAATAAATGTAAAAGAGTCAAAATTCCTTAATTAATGCTAAAAAGCGTGAGGGAGTACTATGCTATAGTGGCTATCTGATCATGACCCGAGTGCCGCCCCCTTAGCCGGGTCCTCATTTCTTGAGAACAAAATGACACGTGAAAACCACGTGGGTCTGCGGCGGGAGAAATTTGGCATATTTTTGTTGAATATTCTTTTTTTTTTTTCCTCTTTAAATTTCTCATTCTCTCATCATGTGAATTGTGCACAAGATATACATTGACAATTCAACAAAAAGTAAATAAAAAGCTTCAGAAATTTCTCTTTACATTTTGTTTCATGCTGATACTAATCTCTCTTGTGATTTGAAATATTTCAATAACCTTTCTTATTTTAATTTCTTTTGTAAAACCTATTTAGTGATAGTAATTTTTTTTATGCTATTCCTATTATAGAATTAAGCACTCGATAATAAGTTTGGTGACACGTTCTTTGGAATTCTTTTAATCATATATTTTGCTTTAATTGCTGGCGGATCCCAAATTTTTAAATCATGAGTATTTAACTATTCTTAATTTAAAAATTGCTATTTAGACTGAATGCTTAATTAATACATTTGCATAAATTTTTAGTTTTTCTCTATAAATAGTGTTTATTTTCAAAAGCAATGGTTGCTTAAGCACCAATAATACATATCGTGGATCCACCATATCGGCAGCGCTAAAACTTCACTGTCCATTTTGATTTTATTTTCAAGGGAAAATTAAAAATGACGTTAAAAATTCTTGAATGTTTAATAATTAGAAATGTATGATAATAAGTGAAAAATGACTAGGTTCATCAAATAATATAAATTGAAAATTAAATTTTGAACTTTTTTACTCGACAATGTCGTCATAACTCGATAAACATTATCTGGGTGAATAAAAATTATCTAGGCCAAATTAAATTTTGNAATCTTCTAGATATAGTAGTCATTCAAAGTGATGCCTGCCCAAATAAGAGGAGGCAAGTTCCAGGAAACAACATAGGCTGATCTTTTTACCTATAGTCGTCATGTTCGAGTCAGTTTATATGCACTTCAATTAATTTTACGAGATATCACCATTTACATTAACATTCATTGAATCTTGACTGCAATAGAGTGGGTGGTAGGTATATACTGACTAGGATGGCTGTAATTTGGTCCTCTCTTTTGGAGGTCTTCTGCTTGATTTGCGTCACATTTTCTATTCAATTTTTTTTGACTTCAGCGAAACCTAGACGACCTTAGCTTTCCACACTATGATTTTGTTGTTTAAAATATACCTTGACTAGTATTTTATCGGACTTTGATTCATTTGTTCCGGTGTGTAAAGAAATGGAAAAGATAGAATAAAATTAACTAAGAAGATGTGTCCTACAACAGTGTAGGAGAAAGGGAACATGGCTAAAGTTCCTTATTCTTCAGCAGTCGGAAGCTTGATGTATGCAATGGTATGTACTAGACCTGATATTGCTCACGCAGTTGGTGTTGTCAGCAGGTTTCTTGAAAATCCTGGAAAGGAACATTGGGAAGCAGTCAAGTGGATACTCAGGTACCTGAGAGGTACCACGGGAGATTGTTTGTGCTTTGGAGGATCTGATCCAATCTTGAAGGGCTATACAGATGCTGATATGGCGGGTGACATTGACAACAGAAAATCCACTACTGGATATTTGTTTACATTTTCAGGGGGAGCTATATTATGGCAGTCTAAGTTGTAGAAGTGCGTTGCACTTTCAACAATTGAAGCAGAGTACATTGCCGCTACAGAAACTGGCAAGGAGATGATATGGCTCAAGCGATTCCTTCAAGAGCTTGAATTGTATCAGAAGGAGTATGTCATCTATTGTGACAGTCAAAGTGCAATAGACCTTAGCAAGAACTCTATGTACCATGCAAGGACCAAACACATTGATGTGAGATATCATTGGATTCGAGAAATGGTAGATGATGAATCTCTAAAAGTCTTGAAGATTTCTACAAATGAGAATCCCGCAGATATGCTGACCAAGGTGGTACCAAGGAACAAGTTCGAGCTATGCAAAGAACTTGTCGGCATGCATTCAAACTAGAAGACAGTGCTACCTCCTCTGGATGAATGAGACTGGAGGGGGAGATTGATGATGTCCATCTCATTGAAGAAGTATTAGGCATGTGCCTAATAAGAGTTTTCTTTGGTTTGGTAGCCAACCTTGTTGACTTGGTTTGGTTGGTAGCCAACCTTGTTGAATTTCTTTGGTTTGGTAGCCAACTTTGTTGAATTGTGAAAAATGTGTGTAAATTGTCAAATATTGTAGGCTTTAGAGGGTGAAGCTTTGGCTATAAAAGGAGAGCTTCAACTCTCATTTCTTCACACCAACAAAGAGAGAAAGAAAGAGTGAGGTTTCACAGACAAGGTATAAGAAAATAGTCTGTGAGGAAAATAGAGAGTGAGCGATATTGTAGTGAGGTGGGAATATCAAAAGAGGGTTATTTCTTTTGAGTGTTGTAGTGGTCTTTGGAGTATTTACCTCCGACCTACAAAGTGTAAAATTCCTTACTATAGTGATATCAGTTGCTCCTCTCGGGGTCGTGATTTTTTCCCTTATTCAGAAGGGTTTTCCACGTAAAAATCTTGGTGTCATTGTTACTCTTTTATTCTTGTTAATTACCGTATCTGGTGCTACATTATTATTCCACTTTTATTACCGTGAATATTATTTTGGCAAGGGGTTTATTCCCTACAACTGGTATCAGAGCACAGGTTCTGATCGTTCACTGAAATACTATTCACTGTCGGTAANTACGAGAGCTATTTTGCAAATCAAAAGTGGAGACTCACTAAGGGATCATTGGTGATTGCAAAGGTAGTTGCTCGTGGCACGTTGTACAGGACAAATGCAGAAC